ACAGCCATGTTGGAGGCAGGTTATAAACTCCCCCACAGACTCAGAGCCATGTTGGAGGCAGGTTATATACTCCCCCACAGAGACAGCCATGTTGGAGGCAGGTTATATACTCCCCCACAGAGACACAGCCATGTTGGAGGCAGGTTATATACTCCCCCACAGATACACAGCCATGTTGGAGGCAGGCTATATACTCCCCCACAGAGACAGAGCCATGTTGGAGGCAGGTTATATACTCCCCCACAGAGACACAGCCATGTTGGAGGCAGGTTATATACTCCCCCACAGAGACACAGCCATGTTGGAGGCAGGTTATATACTCCCCCACAGAGACACAGCCATGTTGGAGGCAGGTTATATACTCCCCCACAGAGACACAGCCATATTGGAGGCAGGTTATATACTCCCCCACAGAGACACAGCCATGTTGGAGGCAGGTTATATACTCCCCCTCAGAGACACAGCCATGTTGGAGGCAGGTTATATACTCCCCCTCAGAGACACAGCCATGTTGGAGGCAGGTTATATACTCCCCCACAGAGACAGCCATGTTGGAGGCAGGTTATATACTCCCCCACAGAGACACAGCCATATTGGAGGCAGGTTATATACTCCCCCTCAGAGACACAGCCATGTTGGAGGCAGGTTATATACTCCCCCACAGAGACAAAGCCATGTTGGAGGCAGGTTATATACTCCCCCACAGAGACACAGCCATGTTGGAGGCAGGCTATATACTCCCCCCACAGAGACAGCCATGTGTGAGGCAGGTTATATACTCCCCCACAGAGACACAGCCATGTTGGAGGCAGGTTATATACTCCCCCACAGAGACACAGCCATGTTGGAGGCAGGTTATATACTCCCCCACAGAGACACAGCCATGTTGGAGGCAGGTTATATACTCCCCCACAGAGACACAGCCATGTTGGAGGCAGGTTATATACTCCCCCACAGAGACACAGCCATGTTGGAGGCAGGTTATATACTCCCCCACAGAGACACAGCCATGTTGGAGGCAGGTTATATACTCTCCCACAGAGACACAGCCATGTTGGAGGCAGGTTATATACTCCCCCACAGAGACACAGCCATGTTGGAGGCAGGTTATATACTCCCCCACAGAGACACAGCCATGTTGGAGGCAGGTTATATACTCCCCCACAGAGACACAGCCATGTTGGAGGCAGGTTATATACTCCCCCACAGAGACACAGCCATGTTGGATGCAGGTTATATACTCCCCCACAGAGACACAGCCATGTTGGAGGCAGGCTATATACTCCCCCACAGAGACACAGCCATGTTGGAGGCAGGTTATATACTCCCCCACAGACTCAGAGCCATGTTGGAGGCAGGTTATATACTCCCCCACAGAGACAGCCATGTTGGAGGCAGGTTATATACTCCCCCACAGAGACACAGCCATGTTGGAGGCAGGTTATATACTCCCTCACAGATACACAGCCATGTTGGAGGCAGGCTATATACTCCCCCACAGAGACACAGCCATGTTGGAGGCAGGTTATATACTCCCCCACAGAGACACAGCCATGTTGGAGGCAGGTTATATACTCCCCCACAGAGACACAGCCATGTTGGAGGCAGGTTATATACTCCCCCACAGAGACACAGACAACACACCACAACCATCACAGAAAGACACAGGAGTAGACAGGAAAGGGCTGGCGTGGAATGCTGAAAGTTAGGACGTTCCACTCATAATAAACAAAGTAAAAAATAAGGTGTCATTTGGGACGTGGCAATAGTATATGTACGGGGCTGCTATATCCTAATGAAGTGTCATCTCACGTAACAGAGTCAGCCCTCATCCAATTACACTGTCTGTTTGTCTGCCAGCCTCCCTGCACAATGGATGTGTGTGTCTGTGTGTGTGTGTGTGTGTGTGTGTGTGTTTGCGTACCTCCATTTTATCTTCCACTGTTGACTTATTTGATTTGTGTCCCTCTGTTCTATTCTGTCTCACTGATGTTTACCCTAAAGTGGGGAACATAGGCAATTGGCCCCTTTTGGCCTGCAGAGTTGTATTGTAATGTAAGGACTAATTAGATTTGTCTCAAGTTTGCCCCTCAGTCCTTTGAGGAACGAAACAGGGGTGTCCTTTTAGGTCACCCCCCCCCCCTCATTTGTTGGCTTATTTGATTCAGGCCCTTAATTTCCTGTTGTCTCATCTGAGTTTTCCCAAGGCAGGCAATACCAGAACATTGCTATACCGTTTTGCCTGCAGCATTTTGTTACCTGTTTATTGGTCCTTATATGAGGTATTTTCTGGAGTCTTTAGGCATTAGGCAACTTTGAAGAACAGAATGGGTTTGAACAGGGATGTTCCTCTGAGTCGTTGGGATGGATGGGCTGCTTCTGTTTAAATAAATATGGCACTCTGCTCTCCGCTTTGCCACCCTCAGACATGACTAATGGCAGCCAGAGCTGCCAGCAGAACGGACACTTTGAGCGATGGGGTGAGGAGATAAATAAAGCAGGTGACAAAAACACACTCGTTCCTTTTGTCTCTCTCCTGTCCTCCAGACCTGGTTGTCAGCTGTAGAGAGGTGTGGTGTGTGTTTAATATCAGAGGGGGTGGGTAAGGAATATCTCATTACGACACTTCCCATTTATCTCCACATGTCCAGTTTAGAAAAGAGTAGTGAGTTCAGCCAATTCCGCCTCTTTGACAACAGGTTGTAGTCTGGTGAAGATGGTTATTGGTACACGCTGGTCTGATAAGTTTGGGGTTATCCCTGGGTGCTACTAGGGCGGCAGGTAGCTTAGTGGGTAAGAGTATTGTGCCAGTAACCGAAAGGTTGCTGGTTCTAATCCCCGAGCTGACTAGCTGAAAAATCTGTCGATGTGCCCTTAAGCAAGGCACTTAACCCTAATTGCTCCTGTAAGTTGCTCTGGATAAGAGAGTCTGCTAAATCACTAACATTTAAAATGTACTTGACCAGACTGCAAACAGCAGCAGCAAAATAAATGTTGATGGCCCATAGTATTGTAGTGGCAGCAGAGGAAGGAGCAGCAACAGTCTTTGGTTTAGGCGATGATGAACGTGGTGGACACAGTGAAATAAACTGTAAGTAAATAAACAGAGAAAGGGAGAGTGAGGAAGAGACCGAACTCAGATAATGTTTTGTCAAACCCTCCCAGAAATCAGAGAAAGACAGCACCCTGTCTCACTGCACCCCACACCTCCTATCCCCAGTACAGATTAGACCGACAGCACCCTGTCTCACTACACCCCCCACCTCCCATCCCCAGTACAGATAAGACCGACAGCACCCTGTCTCACTGCACCCCCCACCTCCCATCCCCAGTAGAGATAAGACCGACAGCACCTTGTCTCACTGCACCCCCCACCTCCCATCCCCAGTATAGGCTAGGAGAGGCTCCTGATAGGACCCTATCTGTGCAGGGCATTGAGTGGCAGTGACAGTGATGGATCCAGACCTCCTCTTCACTGTACTATCCCACCAGACCAGCTCTGTGACTAGACAAATACATCATATAGGTGCTATGTCGTGGTCTGAAACAGGGACACACAGGTAGCCACCACCCAGCCCTGTCCACATCCATAATACTCCCCAAGAGGACAGGTAACCAGGTGGCTGAGTAGACCATAGCAGACCCAACAGGACAGGTAACCAGGTGGCTTAGTAGACCATAGCAGTCCCAAGAGGACAGGTAATCAAGGTGGCTGAGTGGACCATAGCAGTCCCAAGAGGACAGGTAACCAGGTGGCTTAATAGCCATAGCAGACCCAAGAGGACAGGTAACCAGTTGGCTGAGTAGACCATAGCAGACACAAGAAGACATGTAACCCGGTGGCTGAGTAGACCATAGCAGACCCAATAGGACAGGTAACCCGGTGGATGAGTAGAAAATAGCAGTCTCAAGAGGACAGGTAACCAGTTGGCTGAATAGACCATAGCAGACCCAAGAGGACAGGTAACCAGGTGGCTGAGTAAACCATAGCAGTCCCAAGAGGAAAGGTAATCAAGGTGGCTGTGTGGACCATAGCAGTCCCAAGAGGACAGGTAACCAGGTGGCTTAATAGCCATAGCAGACCCAAGAGGTCAGGTAACCAGGTGGCTGATTAGACCATAGCAGACCAAGAGGACAGGTAACCAGTTGACTGAGTAGGCCATAGCAGACCAAGAGGACAGGTAACCAGGTGGCTGAGTAGACCATAGTAGACCCAAGAGGACACGTAAACAGGTGGCTGAGTAGAAAATAGCAGACCAAAGAGGACAGGTAACCAGGTGGCTGAGTAGACCATAGCATACCCAAGTGGACAGGTAACCAGGTGGCTGAGTTGATAATAGCAGACCCAAGAGGACAGGTAACCAGGTGGCTGAGTAGACCATAGCAGTCCCAACAGGACAGGTAACCAGGTGGCTGAGTGGACCATAGCAGTCCCTACAGGACAGGTAACCAGGTGGCTGAGTGGACCATAGCAGTCCCAACAGGACAGGTAACCAAGTGGCTGAGTAGACCATAGCACACCCAAGAGGACAGGGTTGGTAATGTAAAGGCAAAGAAATGGAAAGTGATGGTGTTTTATGTACACATTATGGCAGCAACAAGATGTATTGAAATATAATGTCTTAGAAAAGTACCCTATTTACAGTAGATGCATTGGTGAACTCTGAGGCATTAGAGCAGAACACATGATAATGTCCATCTCTAACGCTCTGGCAACACATGATAATGTCCATCTCTAATGCTCTGGTAACACATGATTATGTTAATCTCTAACGCTCTGGCAACACATGACAATATCCATCTCCAATGCTCTGGTTACACATGATAATGTCCATCTCTAACTCTCTGGTAACACATGATAATATCCATCTCTAATACTCTGGTAACACATGATAATGTCCATCTCTAATGATCCGGCAACACGTGATAATGTCTATCTCTAACGCTCTGGTAACACAGGATAATGTCCATCTCTAACGCTCTGGTAAAACACGATAATATCCATATCTAACGCTCTGGTAACACATGATAATGTCCATCTCTAATGCTCTGGTAACACATGATAATGGCCATCTCTAATGCTCTGGTAACACATGATTATGTCCATCTCTAACGCTCTGGTAACACACGATAATGTCAATCTCTAACGATCTGGTAATGCATAATAATGTCCATCTCTAAAGCTCCGGTAACTCATGATAATGTCAAGCTCTAATGATCTGGTAATGCATGATAATGTATATCTTTAATGATCCGGTAATGCATGATAATGTCCATCATTAACACTCTGGTAACGCATGATAATGTCAATTTCTAACGCTCTGGTAACACATGATAATGTCCATCTCCAACTCTCTGGTAACACATGAAAATGTCCATCTCTAACGCTCTGGTAATGCATGATAATGTCCATCTCTCACGCTCTGGTAACACATGATAATGCCCACCTCTAATGATCCGGTAACGCATGATAATGTCTGGCTTTAACGCTCCGGTAATGCATGATAATGTCCATCTCTAAAGCTCTGGTAACACATGATAATGGCCATCTCTAACGCTCTGGTAACACAGGATAATGTCCATCTCTAACGCTCTGGTAACACAGGATAATGTCCATCTGTAACGCTCTGGTAACACAGGATAATGTCCATCTGTAACGCTCTGGTAACACAGGATAATGTCCATCTCTAACACTCTGGTTTGCTCCCAGCAGTAAGGGGGAAATACATGGTATTTGTAGTGACGTTCATTATAGCTCTTTGTTTTTTTTCAATCCCATTCATTAAAAAGTGGAAAACTATAACACAGCTATAATTTGCCATGACCCACATACATATTTTCTCCTCTGATTATGAACAGACAGTCCGGCTAACTGTGTTCTCAAATTAACTCCTAAATGGTCCATGTCATTCATGACTTTGTTACATTAGCTAGCTGTTCTTGTTTTTCTGTGCAGAGAAAGAGGGAGATATTCTTATATTATATATTATATTATATATTATTATATACTTATAGCAAGAATCTAGAGGCTGCTTTAAAACTAGCAGATATACATCACAATACTATGGTAGTATAACATTATCACAATACTATGGTAATATAACATTATCACAATATTATGGTAGTATAGCATTATCACAATACTATGGTAATATAACATTATCACAATACTATGGTAGTATAACATTATCACAATACTATGGTAGTATAACATTATCACAATACTATGGTAGGATAACATTATCAAAATAATATGGTAGTATAGCATTATCACAGTACTATGGTAGTATAATATTATCACAATACAATGGTAGTATAACGGTATCACAATACTATGGTAGTATAACGTTATCACAATGCAATGATGGAATAACGTTTTCACAATACTATGGTAGTATAACATTATCACAATACTAGGGTAGTATAACATTATCACAATACTATGGTATAATAACATTATCACAATACTATTGTAGTATAACATTATCACAATATGATGGTACAATACCATTATCACAATACTATGGTAGTATAACATTATCACAATACTATGGTATAATAACGTTATCACAATACTATGATAGAATAACGTTATCACAATACTATCGTAGTATAACATTATCACAATACTATGGTATAATAACGTTATCACAATAATATGGTAGTATAACATTATCACAATACTATGGTTGTATAACGTTATGTGCACAGAGTGGCGCAGTGGTCTAAGGCACTGCATCGCAGTGTTAGCTGTGCCACTAGAGATCCTGGTTCGAATCCAGGCTTTGTCGTAGCCGGCCGCGATCGGGAGACACATGGGGCAGCGCACAATTGGCCCAGCGTCGTCCAGGGTAGAGGAGGGAATGGCTGGCAGGGATGTAGCTCAGTTGGTAGAGCATGGCGTTTGCAACGCCAGGGTTGTGGGTTCGATTCCCACTGGGGTATGAAAAATAATGTATGCACTCACTAACTGTAAGTCGCTCTGGATAAGAGCGTCTGCTAAATGACTAAAATGTAAAAAATATTATCACAATACTATGGTAGTATACCATTATCACAAAACTATGGTAGTATACCATTATCACAATACTATGGTAGTATACCATTATCACAATACTATGGTAGTATACCATTATCACAATACTATGGTAGTATAACATTATCGCACTACTATGGTACAATAACGTTATCACAATACTATGGTAGTATAACATTATCACAATACTATGGTATAATAACGTTATCACAATACTATGGTAGTATAACGTTATCACAATACTATGGTATTATAACATTATCACAATACTATGGTATAATAACGTTTTCACAATAAGATGGTAGTGTAACATTATCACAATACTATTGTAGTATAACGTTATCACAATACTATGGTAGTATAACGTTATCACAATGCTATGATAGTTTAACGTTATCACAATACTATCATAGTATAACATTATCACAATACTATGGTATAATTACGTTATCACAATAATATGG